CAACCACAAGGAAATTCAACCAACATTCCAACCACAGTGTCTACTTTACTCAACAACTCATTATTCATGGTCTGTCTCAAAAGTTCTATACAACCAAAGGAGACTGCAACCCAAATAGGGGACAAGCCAACTTGAACTTTATGTTTGGGCTTAGTCAAGCTACTTTGCTTAAGCCGACCTAAGACCGGTGGTGTGATTTATTGAGACGAACTATGTAGACATCGGAATGCAATTGAAGTTAGCTCAATCATACTTCATAAAGATTTACACATCCAAGTTGGACAGCAGTTTTCACCTCGCCCAGATCTCATCAGCACTCTTTAAGGAATTCAAGCCAAGGCTTTGTTCAGCAAGTGAAATGAAGGCAAATGTTTTCATTGACGACAATCTCACTATAAATGTGTGATTTTGCTGAAGTCTGTGGCCCATTTGCTGGCGAGGCGGAGTGGCGGCATGTTGGTAGGTTACGACTTGACGCAAAAATCCTATTTTCAAAGCTATTCATGGCTACTGAGGAAACTAACAAAGTTATTTGATGGGAAGGGTACTCTGAGTTCTAACCTTTTATTGTGGGAAGTGCCTCAGCTGACTCGAGTTTTTGCTATCGCTTTTAATTACTTTCGCTCATGACTACACTGCAGCCGGTTTTCTCAATCAGGCGGCAATTGGCCACAGCTCCGTCTATGCGATCTGTATGGTGTCCTGTTTCCGTTTCGATTTTTCACTCAGCTCCTCTGCCTCCAGTCGGAGGGCTCTCAAATCTGTGACAACATGAGGAGGCAGTTCTTCATCACCATAAACGAAATTGGGTGAATAAATCTCATATTACTGATTTACTGGTAGTCTTGAAACAATACTTAAATGCGAAAAATAAAATATCCCAGTCGATTGTTATAGCAAACATACATTTGCTTCATCGACAATCCCACCAAAGAATATGATATGACAAAAGGCCTGGCCTTCCTTGAAATTCACATTTTGCCCTGTGATCCAAGGGCACTGGTGGCAATCTGGCCGAGTAGTTAGCGCATCAAGCTCACATTCTGCACTGTCAAGGTTCGACTCCCGCTGGGGGTGTTGATAAGACCGATGCGAGGTCAGAACTGCAGTCCACCCTGGATAAGAAAAACTTTTGGGAATGTGAAATTCAATGGAAACGACAGCTCTACTCATATCATAGTGGGAAAATTCTTCTCCCAGTCCCTCATCACCTTAAACGAAATTGGGCGAATATATCTCATATAACTGATTTACTGGTAGTCTCGAAACAATACTAAAATGCGAAAAATAATATGAGGAGAGCAAAGAAGCTTCAGTCAACCCTTAGCTGGTTCCAGTAAGATGTCTCCGAGTGTTTTTGGACCGAGCTGACTCGACGTATAGTCACCGCCAGGTCTTGACAAGTGAGAATCACATATCGGCTTTTACTGGGTTTTGAGGAGACCTCTTGAATTCGGAGGTAATAAATTAGGTACAACGAAGCGATCAATTTCAAAATTTACCGCTTAAACATGTTAGAGACAACACAGCCCCACTTGCGGGCCAAGCTTGGGGCGCTATGCCGCAGGGGATCAAGATTTCGACCAGGAATGAATATGGAAGTCCTTTTAAAGAGGCCTCTGAATGAGTTTGACCATTGTTGATTGGTCAATCCGAAACAGGTCTGAGATGCAGTATCCATTGGTCGCCAAACCACCCATGAGACATGCTTCAGGTGCTGTTGGGTCGCATACGAGGTACGAATTTCACTATAAGCCTCGATCTTTGGCCTCATTTGATAACAATTGTGATTTCCTAAGGCCAGTACGTAATAAGAAGAAAAATATGTACACACATTCCCATTCCCATCAAAATGCATGTTGAGTAGGCAGGGAAGACCAATTATATGTGGTACACCCTGGGTCCCATAAAGTGATGGAGGTCTGAAATTATCATTTTCCATCAATTATTTGACTACGCCCCGGGGTGGTATTAATTCTCATCGGGTCTTGCCTGACAGTTTTTTATTGTGTGTGCATCGCAGACGTAAACATAAATTTCCCTAATCGTCACAACATGAATTATGTCTATATGAAAACCTGCTTATAAACGAAAAAAAATTTGGGTTTTGAAGAATCCCTCAATAGATCAATGTTGAGGTACTTTTCATTTCGTTTGAAGAGGCGAATGGAAGCGATTTATAAATCGACCTCAACGGCGGCTGTAGGGGGATTGCCTTGGAGACGTGACTAGATCTGTGCGAATAGGTCCTCGGCTCATCACTCTTTGACCCCGATGAATTCCTGCTGAACTTTCATCCGTCGTTAGGAGGACATCTTTAGGGCATGACAATAATTCACTAAAATAGGGGCGGCCACCATTCGTATCTTCGTGTTTTGATGAATTATTATCTGGCTCTGACTAAGGTCTGTCACATGACTGGCGAATGCTCAACAAGAATTCTTAGGGGGCCGAGTGGGGGTGAGCAAAGGACATATTCACACAAATCTACAGCCACGGCCCCAAGTCAATCACTCTACAGCTTCCAGTGAGGTAAATTTACGAATCACTTCTACTAGCTTCTTCAAACAGAATTGCATACTTTTCATTTGTAAAAAGGGTCTCGAGACTACCAGTATATCGGATATATGAGATGTGTTCGCCCTATTTCGTCTAACCCGATGAAGGGTTGATATTTGATTTTTCCCACAATGATATGAGTGAGAAGGTTCAACTACCAGTCATTCATCACCTTAAATGAAATAGGGCAAACACAGCTCGTATAGCAGCATTACAAGTATCTGTAATAAGTAAGACTTCAAGACTATCAGTAAATCACTTCTTTCAGCCAAGTTGATAAAGTGTTTAATTCACAGTAGTTCTGAAGAACAAAATGGTGTCTTTCGATTTCTGACTGAGCTCCTCTGCCTCCAGTAGGAGGGCTTTCAAATATGTAACAACATAAAGACCGATTTGACTCGACGTACAGTCATCCCCATGCCTTGACAAGCGAGAATCTATTTGTTCTATTTGTTCTATTTGTTCTATTTGTTCATAGAATTTCCTTTAGCTGTATAGTGTTTGTTTGACCTCGTTCTCGCACCTCGTTTGGAGCTTCCTATTTATACGTCCTCTGCCATGGTATCTGAGATTTTCAACTTCAGACCATTGACTTAGTACATTTTCAGACGTTATTATCGAACTGTCTTATAATCCCTCATCCTTATGTGATGGTACATCTACCTTCCCCCTTTCACATCTCATATTACTGATTTATTGGCAGTCTCGAGACTCTACGTACATACGAAACATAAGTAATATAAGGTATGGATACCAAGATGGTGTCGCAGTCTCTTTTCGTTGTATAAAGGTTGTTGGAATTTGTTTTCGTAACATGGTCATATTGGTAGGAAGACTTAGAGGAACGCACCTAGTCTGGAGTCCATTGCCGGCAGGATCATTTCCAAAGTTGAACCGTGGACGTGGTACATTCCAAAACGTCTCGCCGTATCGTTAGTGAGTATCGCCATTCTTAGCACCATACAACATCTCGTCAAAGAGACAAGTGAAGCCGATCGTTTGATCAAATGTGTGCTAAACAATTAAGGTATCTCCCCTTCTGCCCTGGGCTATTCACATTTCCTATATCCTCCTATCACACCTTCACTGTTAAAATTTTTACCGTGTTTATTTTGATGTACAAGAAACCTTCACACTCCAACTGTCGTTCTCCCCCCCCATCTTCATCCTTGTGCAGGGAATATTTATCAGTCCTCTTTCCTAGTCTTTCCCAGTCTCTCTCTTGCTCCGTAAAACATCTGTCCTACTCGAGGCGTTATTCGCCTCACTGACGATGCCGGCGAAACGTCTGGGAATGTACCACGTCCACGGTCCAATACTGGAAATGGTCATGCATACAATGGCCTTCGGACTAGGTGC